TAAATAAATAACAATAATGATACTTATGCTATTAGAATAATAATATTATCATCTAAGTCAAGAACTAATAGTGAAATCTGAATTAAAGAAATGACAAATGATCCAATGTTGTTAACTTTTTATTCCAAGTAACAGGCATTTTCAAATATTAATCCCATGGATTTTTCCTCCCTAGACTTTACAAAACAAAAATGTTGACACTCAATATTTAGAAACTTTATGTAATAGCTTTATATTCAATATACTTTTAAAAACATGCTTTTGCCTAAGTTATATTTATTGCAAAATTTTACTATACATATTTAAAACTCTAATGTCTTACCTAACATACTTTTATCACTTAAAAGCTACCCAAGTCTTTCAAGAAAACATAGCAATAAATGACTCCACCAAGTGATTAGTAACTAGTATAACATCCAGCTAATGACTAAGAGGTGTTGCGTATGTCAGAAAATACTTAAGTTTAAAATTTTTACTCTAAAATATTGACAATTGAAACTTCACACTTCTCAAAAGAGCCAGAAGGACGTTCACACCCTCCCTAAGTTTCTTTGAAGGTATTAAAGACAATCATTATGTAAATATCTATATTCAGATATCTATAAATCTAGATATCTATAAATGTTCTTAAAATGAATCTATGAACATATTCCTTTCAGAAAAAGATACATAAAAACATCTAAATCTGAGTTTAAATAAAAATAATAGTTCAAACATTAATTCAACCCTATAAGGTTTACAGTAGATAGTTTTAGGTTATCACCATTTCAGAAGTGAGGGAAACTGAGATACTCAGAGGTTAAGTGCTTTTGCCTACAGAAAAGTCATCCAGCTAATAAATGGCAAACCAGAATTCAAACCCCATCCTTGTAACTCTAAGCCCAGTACTTTTTCACCACACCAGCTTCCTCCCCAAATAAGGGTAAATTATATCACAAAAGCATTGACTGTCATAAAATTATCTTTTTTTTTTCACTAGATCTGTTTAAGAAATTTGATATTTAGTTTAATAAAACTCTTTCAAAATGTTGTTAATGTTAATGCTGTGATTTGGTCTGAATGACCCTAAATCCTAAATGGGTTCTCAAATATTAGACAAACCCCATTTAACATTCAAAAATCTGGTTACTTTCTACATATTAATTGTATGAAACTAATGATGACTGATGAGATTTAAAACTGAAAAAAAAAAATTTCCTTCTAAAGGATATATATACCACTCCACCCCCATTCTTTGCATAAGTAGGGCAGTATAGATGTTATAAGTAATGTTATATATACTGTCATAATTCATTACAGTGTTATTTGTTTATGCTGAACTGCTTTTTTTTCTTCTTTTAAAAAAGGAATGAGTCATTGGGTAGGAAAGAGAGGACAGGGATATAATCAGGATTGAAGGTCAGTTAGTCAACATTTATTAAATGCCTACTATTTGCAAGGCACTGTGCTAAGCTCTGAGGAAACAAAGAAAGGCAGAAACAGCCCCTGCTAACAAGGAGCTCACAGTCTAATGGGAGAGAGACAGAAAACTAACATACATATATATATATATATATATATATATATATATATATACACACATATATATAGGATTTTTAGTTGGGACCTGAAGAGAGCCAAAGGAAGCCAGGAAGCCAGGGAGATTATTTCAAACATTGGGGGCAAGCACAAAACAATGCCCAGAGCCGAGAGATGGAGTGTCTTGTTCATGGAATACCAAAGAGGCTGGTGTCAATGGATCAAAAAGAACATCAAAAAGGCTGTAATTCTAAGATTGAGGGGGAGGGGAGGAGAGAAACGGGGCAGGGAGTTTGAATATGAAGGGACATTGAATGTCAAACAGAGGATTTTTTTTTTTAATTTCATCCTGGAGGTGACAGGAAGCCAGTGTTTAATGGGATGACATGGTCAGACCTGTGCTTTAGAAAAATCACTTTGGTGGCTTAATGGAGGACAGACTGGAGTGAGAAGAGAGACTTGTGGCAGATGATAAAGGTATTGTAAAAATGGTATCAAATAAAAAAATAATAATATGCAACAAAGTTTATATAAAAAATATTATTCCTTTTGTGTATGTAATCTAAGAAAGTCTAAGAAGTCAGAGCCCACTAATTTTGAAAACATTTTTAAAAGACAATTCTTTTTTTTCAAAAATTAAAATTTATAGTTCAGGATTTAACTGTTCACTATTCAACTATAACCAACTATAAGAGTAACAACTCCACTTTCTTGCAATTAAAGTAGAACTACTGTATTTCTATTCTAACGCCCCACTGTAGCATGGAGATAACCCTAAAATCTTGAAGGCTTTCAAAGCAGAACAGAAGCTCTGTTAGGTTAAACCAATCAAGCAAGAAAGGCATATCATCAGTATCATAATCATCATCATCACCTCACATTTATATAATGCTTTTGGTTTTGCAAAGCACTCTACATTTATTATCTCACTTGATCCTTCAAGTCTATCCCAATGAAGACAAGACTAGCTAAGTATACAGATGCTCACTCCCAACAAGCAGGTCACTTGGTGACTGGCCATGACAACCACACAACAAATAAAACCAAGTACCAGCCCTCTGTCCCATGTGACCCCTTCTATTCCTGTGGTAACGGTGGCTGAGTGGAGAAAAGGGAGCAGTTTTTAAACATTTTTAAACATTAACTTAGCTGTCATTTCTCCAAATATAAGATTCTTGCCAAGTGAACAAATGAACACACTACTAGAATAAATGTAACTTATCGATCTTAACAGTTTTGCTATAAATGAAACCATAAAACAAAAAAGTTTCAGCTAAACAAAGGATGGCTCATAGTTCTCCTTGTAGAGGTAAATAAAGAAGATGGCAACAGTAGATTTTATCATGTGTCCAAATGTCTCAAGCAACATCACTTTATGGAATACATTTGGCCATCTTATAACTCTCAAGATAAACATATGCAAAAAGACCACCATGAAAACTGCTGCTTATATGTCAACATTTGCTGCTGAGGATGAGCTAGAGAAATGCTATAAAGAACTCAACAAGGCCTTCCAAATTAAATCAACATAAACCTTAGGAAGCACTGGATTCTCCTTTACTAGAAGTCTTCAAACAAAAGATGGATAACCGACCACCGGATTTGTTGTAGAGATTTCGCTAGATGGCCTCTGAGTTCCCTACTAACTCTGAGAACATGTAACTCCCTTCCATTTCTAAATATAAAAGCCTATATCCATTAAACTTATATAAAGACCTTATTTATACAAAGAGCCATCCAAGATGGCCAGTGGACAAATGAACTCCCTTTTCCTTTCAGTGCCACCTGATGAGAACTCTGCTCAAGCTGGGGTCTGCATGATGTCTTCGGTAGCTCCTTTCTGCTTAATTTGTAAAGTTCAAATTCTTTCGTTTGCATTCAAGGCACTCCAAAATCTCTGACCACCCTACTTTTCCAGACTTCTCTCATGTTACTCCCATTCCATACTCAAGACAATTACCTGCTCACTGACTCCACAAGCATCCCCACATCCCCATGAGTATCCCCATAACATTGTAGATAAAGTGCTGACCTCAGAATCCAGAAGACTTTGGCTTAAATTCCACTTCTAGTGCTTACTAGGTGCGTGACCATGTACAAGTCCCTTAACCTCTCTAAGCCTCATTTTCCTCATCTGGACATGAGCATAGCAATACTTACAGCATCTACCTCACAAGACTGTTGTAGGGCTCAAATAAGAAAAGTGTGTAAAGTGTTTTGCAAACCTTAAAGCGTAATATAAATGTCAAGAGATTATTATTTTTTATTGGACTTGTAATTTCATTGGTTTAAGGAACTACTAATGAGGAAACTCCAGCTTCCAATGGATTAAGTTCATCATCAAAACTCAATCTCCCTGAAGCTTCCCAAAGAGTTGTACATACAACAGGTACTGAATAAATATCTGCTGAATGAGTACCTTGAGCTAATAATCACTCCCTACTGAGACCCCATCTGCTCTTTAGCTGCCTAGTGGCAGAACGTCTTATGCAGGAAGAACAAGCAATCAAAGATCAGCTGAAGCAGATCTCTAAACTCCAAATGCCAAGCCAGCTCCAGGAGGACAGATTCTGATTTCTTTGCAATGCAGAGGTCCTTAACACTTCAGCCTAGGACAATTCTTACAACACATGGCCTAGTAAAAGAGAAGTATCTTTAAAACGAGGGGGTTAAAATGATTGCTAAAAGTTTCCTTCCACATCTAACACTCTACAAACCTAATAATTCTCTTTTTTTCCCTTAATTTCTTTAAGCACACTTTCTTTCTATAAACCAGGGCTGCCCCTAGAAAATCTGGGACATAATGTTGCATTAATTAATAGGTGAAACAGACATTTTGTGGGCCTAAAATCCTAAATACCATTTCTAACAATGATTCTATGGGAAAACATAGACCGAGCTCTAAAAAACTAGCTTACTAACTTCTGGAACACAAAACTGTTCATAATTTGGGAGTGACAGGTTTTAAAGGTGATGGGAAAATGGTATGTCTTATATATCTATTTCATACTGAAATATGCACTGTCCTATAATTTATTCAATGAAATGTCTAATTTTACTTATTTTTATGTTAAAATCTCTAATTTTAACATTCTGTATGTATGTATATGTGTGTGTATTTTTTCAAACCAAAAAATGCTCTTTTGTTAAGGTAAATTTGATCTTTAAGTTGCTGGTTCTAATCTCATCTTTCAGAGCAAAGATAACTAATGATTTAGGGAAACACTAATAACATACACTAAAAAGGTATGGCCAAAATTATACTCTTGGCTACTTTACCTTCCAGAAAAGAAAAATAATGAGATCCCTTCTCAATACATGATTGCATAATACTGAAACCTACTATAAGAATTCAGGGTCCAGAAAATAGATTCCATAAAAATACTGAACAAAACTATTATGAAGTGAGCAAAATTTTCTTAACAAGTGATTAGCAAAATTATCAAGCTAATAACGACCAAGATGAAAATTAGAATACTCACTTTGTTGTCTTGTGTCACAAGAATGCTTGCACCCCCAGGTTTCAAAGGCACTTCTTCCATTGCTCCAAACACATCTGTCTCAACAGAAAAGGTTAATTCTAGACCCAGATCACTAATATCATTATCCAGTATCCACTGCAGATTTTTTGCATATTCTGGATCAATAGATGCCACATCCTGGTAATTTACAGGAATACCTGAAAAACACACACATATGCAATTGTTAGATCTAAAATCCGCTGCCTTTCTGTCTATTTTATGGTAGAACATTGCCCTCTACTGATCTATGGTAAAACTGCAAAATAAAACTAAATTCACAAGATAATTTAATATTACTCCTATGATTGGAAAAGAATCCAGTGAAATATTATATTTAAGTGCAATTGTTTCCCTGATTCTTTACCACAAAAGGATGCATGAAGAATTCAAAAGCAAAAGGGATTTATGACTTCATTAGTATAGAGTACTCACAAATAAGGAAACTCCCACTATCAATTTAAGTACCTCTTCAACTTAAAAGTCTTAGAAAATTTCCCAGTGCACTGGAAGGTGACTTGCTCCTAGTCACAGAGCAGATATGTATCAGAGGTGGGACTTGACTCCAATGTCTTCCTGGTGTTGAGGCCAGCTTTCTATGCTGCATCTCATATAAGAGCTTTGCTAAAGATCTATATGAGATCTTTAAGTGATCATTCCATTAGCTGTAGTCACATTACATAATATCTTCTTAACATACATTATTTAATGTAAAAAACTTTTGGTAATTAAAATCACATTTTTGTTTTTTCAACTAAAAGACCAGGTTTTGGTTTTCGTTTTTTTCCCCCCAAAAAAAATTTGGTTGGACTCAAATCATTGCATTCAGTATCATTCTAGTTAAATCCTCTTTTTTTTATGAGTTGGGATCCACTTTCTCAAAAATCTGCCACAAAACAACTAAGTGATACAAATAACAAACGAAAAATTTCAAAATACAGAGGCACAAAGTTCTATACCTCTGGCCCTTAAAAAATTAGTTCATTTTTCTAACATGACTTAGATAATGAGTCACTTTTTAAGACTCAATCTTTTTTTTTTTTTTTTGATAGGCAATGCGGTTAAGTGACTTGCCCAGGTTCACAGAGCTAGTAAGTGTTATGCGTCTGACACTGGACTTGAATTCAGGTCCTCCTGAATCCAGGGCCAGTGCTCTTATCCACTGCGCCACTGAGCTGCCCCAAGACTCAATCTTTCTAATATGGTCAACGGAATTTTAAAAATTCATTCAATTTTTTGAAAGCTGGGCACAAAGAAAACAATAATCTAAATAACAGAAAAATTCCAGGCTACTTCCTAACCTAACCAGAAGAACTTATACTAAGTTTTACTTTAATAAGAAAATCAGCTTCAAATGAGGTCAACCAATGAAGACAAATCAAGGAAGGATTTTTTTGACATTCAAAATCTCAAAGTAGCTATGACACTTAGTTCTGTGACTGGGCAATTCACTGAGGAAACTGTAAAATGGAGATAATAGCACCTACCTCCCAGAACTGTTGTGAGGATCAAATGAGATAATATTTGAGAAATACTTAGTATAGTGCCTGGCACAAAGGAGGCACTTAATAAAATATTTATTCCTTTCCTTCTTGTTACCATTATCCTGTTGGAATGACAGGCCTTTTTGCCTTCAACTGATTCCTAGTTCCATCCATCGGTCCACCTCTACCTATGTCTTCCTATAAGCCTTTAATAAGCACTTACTGTATACCAGGTACCATGCGTGCCTGGTGCTTGGGATACAAAGGCAAACATGAAATAGTCTGCCCTTGATAAGCTTACATTCTATTAAGGGAGACAACAAGCACACATGAACAAAATAAATAGAAGGTAATTTTGGAGAGGAGAGCACTAACAGCTGGGGGAACTCAGTAAAGGCTTCATGTAGAAGGTGGCATGTGAGCTTAATGTTGAAGAACAGAAGGCATTCTGAGACTTGGAAGTGAGGAGGGAGTGCTCTCTGCGCCCATCATGGGGGGAGAGCAAGTGCAAAGGCCAAGAAAAGAGCAGTGGACTACTGTATATTAAGAAAACAGCAAGGCCAGGTTAGTTGTATTTTAAAGTGAGGGAAGGGGAGTGATGGATAAGGCTGGAGAGGTAGGCTTGGGACTTCCTAACACACTATGGTGTCACTGTGCCACTCAAAAACCTTCAGTAGTTCCCCATTTCTGAATAAAGCATAAATTCCTGATGTTCACACTTATGTTCACAAGTCTTCCACAATGTAGTTTTCACCTGTGCTACCTATCTCACAAAATTCCCTGGCACGTATTCGGTGTTCTAAAATAGCCACATTGGGCTATTTTCTTTCCTGTCCTCATCCTGCCGTTTCCCATGCTCATGCTATCTTCCCTATACCCTGCCACCCTCAAGGTAGAATTTTTTCCTTTAAAGCCTAACTCAGATTTCATCGCCCTTACCTAGTTCTTAAGTTTCTTTACCACCACCTGACTCATCCCACTCAAATAAAAATGATCTCTCCCTCTTCAAATTTCTCATAGCATATTACCCATGCCTTGTCTGCACATTTATGTCAGTATCCCTTGTATCAGTTATTGAGTTTAAGCTCCTTGAACAAAGGACTTGTTTCATATTTTTATTTGTATCTACATGGCACAGTACAGTACAATGCCTTGCATGCAGTAGATATTTAATAAGTGTTTGCTGAAATGGTACATGAAGTTTAAAATTTTGAAATGTTATGACTTTAACTTTAAACAAGATTCTCAACTGGAATTATAGGCTCTCCAGCACGACTTACAACTTACTCTTCAATAACTTCAAAATACACATCTTTAGAGACCCATCCTGTTATGCTGCTCTATCACCTTCCCATTACCAGATAACTCTGCATACACACTCGTGGGATTTATGACTATGGTTAAAATTTAAGAGGAAAGAGAAAAGACAAACACTAGATGAAGCTACCAAATCTGTTTCATGTCCAAACCAACACAAAAATAGATTCCCCAAAAGTTGAGGAAAACATTGTCTAAATAAGGCATTAGTGAACTGATAGTAGAATCATACCAAGAATGTGCTTGTAGAATGACCTTGTAAAGTAAATGTTGACCAGCTGTCTGTGGTTCAAAGCTAAACCCAAGATCTGTCCAGCAAACCGGAAATAATTCAAGTGATCAGGATTGACGTATGAGTTGCTATTAGGCTGAAAAGTTGTTCCTTTTGAAATTAAAAAAAAAAAAAGTTTTATTCTCCATTTGGAGGGAGAGGTTAAATAGTGAATCCACATTTCAAGGTAAGGTAGCACATAGTGTGAAAACACGACAGTTTTAATTATCAAAAAGACTAGATATTTATTCATTTAATTTAAATTATTCCAGTTCCCTGGGCAGCAACATGAATATAGAATACAACATCAGGATCAAACTTACAAAATATAAACAGCATACTCAAAATAACCAACACATAAAATGGTTAAAGGGATAGATCCCTGCCCAGAGTAGTTTACATTCTATAACACCATTACTTCATTGCTGACATAATAATCCATAGAGTCCTATAACACAGACTATGCTTTGGCCAAAGTTGAGTTAATAAATACTGATGTTGAGCATAAACTTCAAAAGTAATAATGTCTGTAGAATGTGTAAATTATTCAATGAAAAAGGGGATAGGAAAAAATCATTAATTCACCTCCATTTGTCAAGGGATGTATTTGTGCAAGAAATAAATTTTCATTGAACTTTGACTGAAGAAAAGAAAATGTCTGTAAGAGGAATAAGAGCCCATTCCATACACTGTGAGGAATATAACAGGATGTAATTTAGATAAATGGAAAAGTATGTAGGTCTTTCCAAGTGGAGCAAATAGGCAAGGAATAAGGAGATATACAAATAATTGAATACAAATAAATAGTAACTTCCAAGTACCAAAACTATTTTGAAACAATAAAAACCAATTCTAAAACTTTGTGCCGCAGTACATGTCAAAAAAAAAAAAACCACCAATCTACCCACCATGAAAATCTCTTATCACAAAATACCTAATTCAATCCACTTTGCATTTATTAAACACCAAGTGAATGGTACTGTGATAGGTGCTAGAAATGTAAAGACAAAATTAAAAGCAGATGACCCTGGTCTCAAAGAGTTTACATTCTATTAAAGAGATACATCCTGTAATAAGAGAGTATGTAAAAAGCAAGTAAGCACTAACAGTGAGGGGCAATCAGGAAAGGCATAGGAGTTAGCACAAGTTAAACACTGAAGTAAATTAAAGATTGTGAAAGACACAAGTGAGGAGGAAGATCATTCCATTCCAGGGAGAAATACTGTGCCAGATTCTGGAAACAGCAAGTTAGCCAATTTGGAGAGAACTCAGAACCTGCCAAAAAGAAGTAAAGTACTAAAAGCTGGGAAATGTAAGCCAGAGATGGATATAAAGAGCTTTAAATTCTCAACTAAGTTTGTAAAAGCACATAGGGAGCCAACATAGATTTTTGAGCAGGGGAGTAACCTTGTCAGATGTACTTGAGGGTGAGTTTGTAAGCAACTGTGAAGAACATCAGTTGAAAAAGCAATGCATTATAAGGAAATGGGCTCAAATGCCAGCTCTACCATTATTCTCCGTGTGTTCTTGGGCAAGTCATCTCACCCTTCTGGGCTTCCATTTCCCTATCTGTATGTAAAATGAGGGGTTCAGAATAGATGACATCAAAGGTCACTTCTATCCTCCATCTGCAAACTTAAGTGTCAAACTCAACTCCACAACTCTCATCTGAACTACTGCAGTAGTCTTTTGGTTGGTGTCTCTGCCTCAAGTCCCTACCTACTCCAATCCATCCTACATTCAGCTATCAAAATGATCTTCCTAAAGCATAGGTTTCACTACGTCACTTTCCTCCTTTCCTCAAGCTGCCATTTGATTAACTGCACTGGCTCCCCATTACCTCCAGGATCAAATATAAAATACTATTTGGCTTGTGAAGTCCTTCATAACCTGAGCCCTTCCTACCTTTACAGTCTTCTCACATCTTATTCTCTCCCATGTATTCTATAATCCAGTAACACTAGCCTTCTTGATGTTCCTTGCACAAAACATTCCATTGCCCAGTTCCAGGTATTTTCATTGGCTGCCCCATATACCTGCAACTCTCTTCTTTCTCATATCCATCTCCTAGCTTCCTTCAAGTCTAGGCTAAAATTAACCTTCAACCTTAGCTCCTTCCTTCTGAGATTAGCCACAATTTATCCTGCACATATCTTGTTTGTCTACAGTTGTTTGCATGTTGTGTCCTCCATTAAACTATGAGCTTCTTGACTGTTTTTAGCCTTTCTTTGTATTGCCAGCACTTTACACACAGTAGGCACTTAATAAAGGCTAGCAGATTTATTGATTGAAAATAATTTAACTTCAAGGTGTTACACAAAATACTAGGTAATTTTGATCTTGAAACAATTTCAGTGAATTAAGATCAAAGAGAAAGATCTTGTATAATTAGATGACTAAAAAAAGTTGTCTTTTTTTGCTTTAAAAAAAAAACAAGTGCTATTATGATCATAAACAGGGAAAAGGAAGAGAAATATGTTCATTTTGCAAATATGTGTCTAACTATTCTAGTCCTGAATACAAAACATGGTTATAACAAAAAATAACATTAAATTTTGGGTCAAAAGATTTGAATTCTAGTCTGTGCTCTCATTTTCTTTGGCCAAGTCATTACTCTAAACCTTAGCTCCTTTACCTATCAAATAATGAAAATAATAGAGGACCTGACAATTTTAGCAAATGATATCATGTAAATAAATACTGTACTTTGAATACTTTAACATATTATACAAATGTAAGATATTAATAACTGTCAATATAAAATAAATTATATACTTACCATCAGCTGATTGGGTGAACAATGCATAATCAGGGTTAATTATCTCATTGGATAAAATATCAAACCACTCACGTACAACCCCTTGACCCTGGGTATAAGAAAATAAAAATAACAAATAATGGGATAAGATAATACATATGTACACAGATCTTAAAATGTTATAACATTTTAAAATATGAGGAAAATAAAATTTTAATTAAATTTCTTCTATTTCCACTTACTGTCAAGTTCTATTTAAGTATATTTCGGTCTTTTTTACGTAGTGATATACTTTTCACTTATTTTTATACGCACCATGCCTTCTTCTCCATGGAAACGCACAGCAATCCCCTGTTTTAGCTTTGCACAATTTGCTTTAGACACAACTTCACAGCTACTCCTAAAAATAGAATCTACATATGTAGCACTGATTAGTTTTATATCTTAAAAATAATGATCAAAAAAATGTTTTGTGAATTTCATATGCATTAGCTTCTTTGTCAAATAAATATACCTCTATGAACCAGCAGGATATCATTTTCATTCACTGGCCTGTGTACCATGTCTGAATCTGATTGCCCTGAATGCAAATGTTCGTAGAACCACTCACAACGATCTTTAAAAGGCTACCAAAAAAAGAGATGTGTTAAACATTACAATTATATAATTATCATCTTTGCTTTAAGCATTATGCAAAATACTCATTATAAAGTACCATTCTGAGACTCATGAGTAACTAGTTAATAATGTTCAAACATTTCAGCAACTGCTCACAAAATAAAAGCAGAACTATGCACAACTTACATATTTTCTAGAAGTTGCTCCCATTTTCAACAGGATACCTTTGATAATTTAGAAATTTATGTCCAGCCATTATTTTAATGTCAGACATGTAATTGAACACATCTACAACAAATATAATGTCTTCTCAAGCTCAACAAAATCAAAAATTAATTCTCATGCTCAGGAAACATCATGGTACACGTTTCATTTCATTTTAAATTAAAATAGTCCCATATGTAGCCTTTCTTTTTGCCCTTCGGAATGAGAGATGGCCTTTTGATTGGCAATTAAGAAGAATTTGGTACCCTTTCCTCTCTCCAAAAGCTCTGAAGCTAATAAAAAAGTCTGAAGACAGATGTAGATACTTTGATTAGCTACTAAGTAAACAAAATGGTAATGATGAGTAAAACTTTGTAATTCATTAGAAAATATTTACTGAGCACTTATATTTGGTTAGTACTGTGGGAGATAGAAAAGAAATGTAGAGCAAAATCTCTGTACTCAAGCAATCCATAACCCAGCTGAGGACATAAGCTTAATATATGAAACAATCATGGAACAACACAAGGGAGTAGATATTTAGATGTTTGAAGTATGTGATGTAGACTACAGATTAGACAGGAGTTTAGAGCTGAGAAAGTAAGTGGAGGCCAAAGCAGGCAAGAAAAACATCATAAAGTGATATGACTTTCAAAGATTCATAGATTCTTGGGGCTACAAGGAGATCTAGAAATCATCTGGTCAATCAATTGATTTCACAGCTAAAAAAACTGAGGCACAAGATCATAGAATGACAGAGATGAAACCCAAACCCAAATTTCTTGTCTCCTAGCCTAGTTTTCTTTCAAGTATTCCTTGCTATCTATTAGATACTGAAGTATGAAGTCAGGGTTTGTTTGAATGAAGAGAAAGAGGCCATTTCAGTATGAAAGAGTAACATGAAGGACACTAAGGTTTCTTGCTCACAGTGGGCATGTGAATTAGCATGACAAAAGTAGAGGAAGAGGATACTGATTTGACATTTGGGTAAATGCTGGAAGATAACAGGAAATAAGTTATAAGTTTGGACAAGCAGAAAGAGAGAATGTCTGTATTTGATATACAAAGCAAAGGACTGAGGCAATTTTGTTTTGGTTTGGTTTTTATCATTGAGGTGACATAATTCTGGCAAGCAATACACCACTTTTGGATTTTTCCATCATGTTCCTTTGGTGAATAACTTTCTGGCCCCACTGTATTCTCCCTCCCATCCCACATCTTCCCTCTTCCTCCCTTTTCAGCCTCTTTTTGTGTTCCTCCAATAGACTATAAGCTCTTTAAGACAGAGACCGTCATTTTTATTTCTATTTGTATCTCCATTTGTATCACATTGAGTGGCAATAGTAGGTGCTTAATAAATGTTTATTGACTAGGAAAAATATAAAAGATGGGCTGGAAGGGAAGAATAAAAGATTTCCCACTTCCCACTCCCTCTCAAAAAGAAAAAAAACCCTCAGCAAGAAGGAAATTACAGTAACAAATGAGCCAATAAGGACACTTGACTAGGCAGTGACAATGGAGATGAGAGAATGAATCTAAAACATTTTGAAGGAAGAATCAATAGGACTTGATGATAAATTAGTCCCAGGAGGTGAAGAGGTAGGTAAAGTCAAAGAAAATAAGACTTAAAGGCCTGGGAGAATGGATGAGATAATAGTGTCTTTAACAGAAATAAAATCTGAAGGAATACTGGAAAGAGAAAAAGAAATTAGTGATGTCTCAAATACATTAAGTTTTAGAAGCAAAAGTCAAAAAGAGCTGTTGGATCACACTGATCTCTAACCAAAATGATCCTCTATTTTAAAATCTTACTCATTTCACAAGGCTCAAACTGCATATCACCTCCTCCAAGACAGTCTACTCTGACTGTCCAGCTAGAAGTATGTTTCCTCCTCTAAATTCCTTATTTCTCTGCATCTTTCATTTGATACTTACATCAACTGCTTTCCATTACAGTGAGTTTTTTTAACGTCTAGAATAGAATTTAAATTACTTGGGAAATGTTTTGATTTTTTTTTAAGATACAGAATATGAAGTAAACAGAGTCAAAAAAACAATGTACACAATGAGTACAAAGTAAATGAGGAAAAAACTCAATGTTGAATAATTATAATGATCAAGCCCTAGTCACAGAAAAAAAGTTGATAAAAAGCACCCAGCACTGCAGATGTAGGTGACTTTGGTATATTGTACATATTGTTAGACACAGTCAATGCATTGGTTGACTTTGCAGAACTCTTTTCTCACCCTTTAAAAATCTTCATTACAAGGGATAGCTCATTGGATCAGGGGAAGGATACATTCAGGAATTAATGTAATATGAAAATGCTATCAATAATTTTTTAAAGTTCTAACTGGAGCTGTTTTTGAAAATTTATTTTGTGCATAGCTAGTTTTTCTATAATATAGGGTATAATGCTGCCACATGCTAGTGGGTTACTCTGATCTAATATATATGATTCAAATGGCATTTCACTGAATTCTAGAACACAACCATGAAAGTCTTATTGATATTCTTTAAAATCAAAATATAATATTCCTACAACTAACCATAAAACAATAAGTTTCTAACTTAAAAGCAATACTTATAGAGAGACTTTTTAAAAACATGCTAAATACAAATCAGTACAGTTCTCAATAATCATTAACTTATCTACCACTATCTAATCTAACTAAGCCTTACTCCTAGATACTGATCATAAAGTTTCACTCTAACTCACCCTGAGAGCTTAGCTTTAAGTCAAAAGTCCTCCCATGTGATTTGTAGTTAACTTTAAAGGCTTCTAGTATCAAAATGCCTATGGGCTGCTCCCACAAAGTACCAGTGACTTTTCTCGGTTCGCCACCCACCGATGACCTATTCACTATACTTAGAACTATCTGAAGGGTAAATCTCTCACTCACGTTTATACTAATCTGAATAAACCATCAGACTGTAAAGTACTTGAGTATCTTATGTTACAATTCATCTTTGTATCCCCAGAGCCTTGCACACTACCTTACACATAGAAGGTGCTTTATAAATGTTTCCTGAATGTCCCCAACTAGATTTTAAGCTTTTAGTGGAGGTCAGGAGCCAGACTGTATATTTCCCCTTTTTCCCCACAACATGAATCCTGCAAAATAGATACTCAATAAATATTTCTTGATGACAATAAAGGAACACATAAAAATGTTGTTATTCCAATCTGACATTTTAAGGAATTGGAATACAGAATATAAAACACCAATAGGACATATTGCTACTTAGTGGTAAAGCCTTATACTCTGATGCTTACTACCCTCCCCTCTCCCCCCAGATGACTTCCATATCCTTCTTATAGTAAGCAAATGAGAAAAGCTTCTATATTCCCCAACAGAGATGAGTTCAACATATAATCCCATTACTCTAAGGTAGATGAAGTAACATAGAGTTGATAGACACCACATTAAACAATCTGGTTAAAAATTGAACATGTGTTCAACTTTCAAAAATACAGCTTTGCTTTCATTAGAGAAAAGCCCCAAAGCGAAAAAAGACTCTACCTGTGCTTTGATGATATGCATGAACCTTGACATCAATTCAGGACACTCAAGGAGGAAGTGAAAATGGTCAAAAATTATTTTGGGGTTTCTGGGGGAAAAAAGTATTTTATTTAGTTAGCAGAAACGAATAAAATATAGTAAGATGCAAATTCATGACAAAAGGTATAATCAAAGTCATAAATGAAAACACAGCCATCCTGAAGTTTCATATAGAAGATATAATAAAATGTTTTATTTATGCTACCTCAAATTAAGCATTAGGAGATATTTAAAAGCCTTACCGATTAACAAAGCATTTAAGAACTTCATCATGTTTGCATACAAATTCTATGAAACGGGGTGAAGTCATTCTGCAGGAAAGGAAAACAAAATTCATTAGGCTCAGGACACACAAGAGCTACAACTCAATGAATCTATGATCATAAGACTAAGGGTCTTAGTCAATTAACACATATTTATTGAACATCTACTACATACGAGGGACCATATCAGGCACTTGGAATATCCCTATTTAAAAGTAGCTTACATTCAAATAAGGGAAACAAGTACATAAGTAAGTATATACCAAATAAAGAGAATAAAAATAATACAAAGTAGTTAAATATGAATTAGTTTAGGATGATAAGCCCTATGAATTGGGGAGAGGGAATTGGGAAAGGTTTCATGTAGAACATGGTACTTGAGCTGTTTCTTAAAGGACAGGGATTCTTTGAGGAGGAATCAAAGAGAAAGTGCACTGCAGTTAGGGGGAAAGGTCAAGGCAAAGACAAAGAGATAGAAGGTACAGTATTGCGTGTGTGAGGAACAGAGAAAGAAGGCTAACTTGGTTGGACAGAAGAGTGCAAGAGGATGAGTAATGTCCAGTGAGGCTAGAACAGTTAGCTGGGGTCAGGTTCTGAAAAGATTTAACAGATAAATAAAAGAGTTTATATTTGATTCTAAATTTAACAGGTAGCCACTGAAGTTGACAGAAGAGCAGAGTCCCATTGTCAGATACAGACTTACGGAAAATCACTCTGGCAACAAGGTATAGGATAGACTAAAGTGGGGAAAAGACTTGAGAGTCTTTGCAGTTTTGGTAGACCAATTAGGACACTTGCAATAATCTAGATGAAAAATGATGAGAGCCTAAGATAATCTATGAGTGGAGAGAAGGGGTCAAAAGAACCTGAGATTAGAAGGCTGATGGTATCTTTGGCAGAAACAGGAAAGTTTAGAAGCAGAGGAGGAAATAAGGAAGAAGAGGTTAGGAGAAAAAATAATCAATTCCATTTTGGATATTTTGAGCTTGAGATAGCTCCAGTATATCCAATTTGAAATGTCCACTAGCTAATTGGTAATAAAATTCCAGGGAGAGCCTGGGGCTGCCTAGATAGATAGATGATCTAGATAGATGATCAAAAGACAGATATAGATATATCTTTGAATCTTTTGTACAGAGATGACAATTAAACCACTGGAGTTGATGACCTTACCAACAAGACCAAGAATAGAGAACTCATCTATTTAATTCAATTTTCTTGAGCTTTAGAAAAATGAGGAAAAAGAGTATTCAAACAATCTTTAAAAGAGAAATACAAATATTAAATTCTTAGAGAATGTTGGTATCAATTTACTTTTTTTCTTTAAAAACCTTAAAACAGTCTCTAAGTAAAAATGTTTTCCAATACTTAAATTAGTTCTACATAATGGCTACCTCATCTTTATGTACTGTACAGGTATTTAAATTTACTTTTCTTTCCCTTACAATTCTATTTCTTAAAATTTTATTATGAACATCTAAAGCAGTTTCTTTAAAATTGGAGACCAAAGCATTATGTTCTAAATATATGTGTGAAAGATCTACCCAAAAATTTAACAAATGGGATGTCCTATTACTAAAATTATAAAGATTCTAGAATTCTATTATTTAGTAGAGATGAAAGTAATACGGAAAAAGCTTCTTACCCTGGAGGCATCTGACAAGAGCAGCACATATAAAAAGCCTGAATGACAGCACTTAGCCGGTTAGCTGTCATGGAGATAACATCCTGACAATCCGCACTAGCTTCCTGCTTCCCTGCAACATCATCTGGTTTAGATTCCCCTGGGTCAATGGATAGATTTTCTCTGCTTCCAGTTCCTGGACTGCTGAATGAAGGGATGGAAGTAGTATCTCGCTGATCTGGCCCCTTTTGCTTCAATAAAATAGAGGTGATGTTGGTGGAGTCCTTTTTGTTTTTCATCAACTCTGTGGCTATTAACACTAGCCATTCATCTAATGAGTGCCAGAGCAATTCCAAAGGCTATAAAAAAATGAAAATTTTAATGTAATTTTTAATTTAAAGGAAAAAAAGCTCATCAACTTATTAACAAATAATTCCTTAAATATACAGAATACAATTCCAAATATTCTAAAAAGTAAATCATGCCAGTTCACTTTTTTCAAAATGAGGAGATAATTATAGGAAATAACCCTAAGGTTATCAGTTTTAAATAAAACACATGTTTATTTGCAACAAAAGGAAGAAAAAACAATTTATTTATAAAGTATAAATTCAAGAAAACTTAAAGATAAAAAAATTAAAATTTAGGAATAATGGAAAAGTTAGTCTTATCCATATAGTCACTTTGTTTAAAAAGTATTCAACATAGTGACACAAACGAAGCAGAAAGAATATCAGATTCAAAGTTATAGGACATCAGCTCTATTACTTGCCAGCAACGTGTCCCTGAGCAAATCATTTCCCCACACTGAGACTGGGTCCTCTCATCTGTACAATAAAGGGATCTGACTAAATGATGTCTAAGAAGCACTCTACCTCTAAAATCCTATAGATCTTATGAAATTTGTTCTTTTAAAGCACGTATCTGTTGCTAAAGTAGCCCTAGGGAGGTTGGTACTATATGTATTATCAACTTAGCCAATGTCAACTTACGTCACGCTTTGCAATCATTTCAAAATATAAATTTACATTTTAAAAGATTCTCAAAAATAAACTCTCTTGTGATACGCAATTAGCTTACTGTGTTCCTTACAAAGAACTATTCAAATTAAGACAATTTGTAATGGTAACACATAAAAAAAAAATGCGGATTAAAAATGAAACATATCAGTCCCAAGAATTACTGCATCCTTAAAACAAATCATTTGAAAAATGGAAAATACTAAACCATTATAAAAAAGACTTGCTGAAAAATTCAGTCCCAACCTTACTTCCATACAAGAAAAAAAAAAGTCATTAATAATGACTTTAGGGGCAGCTATGTGGCACAGTAGATAGAGCACCGGCCCTGGAGTCAGGAACTGAGTTCAAATGTGACCTCAGACACTTGACACTAGCTGTGTGAACCTGGGCAAGTCATTTAACCCCATTGCCTAGGGCGCCTCCCCCTCCAAAATAATAATGACTTTAACTGATGAGGTAATTTTTCCCTGACCCATTTTTCCTAGAGCCCTTGGCTCTCTCCTCTCCTCTATTATATTCTACACCTTGTATTATCTTCCTCGAAGACTATAAAAATTATAGTTGTCTTCATATGTCTAGTGCCTACTACAGTGCCTTGAACAAAGTATGAGCTTAATAAACATTTGTTGAATTGAATTGTTGCCTCATTTCTACACTGTTCTAAATATCACTTTTTAAAGAACATTCCTCAGTTGATAAATGGTCAAAAGATATAAACAGGTAGTTCCCAAGGGAAGAAATCCAAACTATCTAAAGTCATATGAAAAAATGCTCTAAGTTACTAATAATCAGAAAAACACCAATTAAATCAACTCTGAGGTTCTACTTCCTACCTATCATATTAGCAAAGCTTACAAAAATAAAGGAAAATGACAAATTCTGTAATGGCTAGAAAACAGGAGAAGGAGGCATATTAGGGCACTGCTGGTACCGCTATAAACCGGTACAGCCATTCTGGAGCATTTTGGAATCATCCCCAAAAGTTACTAAATTATATATATACCTTGGTCCAAACAATAGTTGGTCTTTTTGTGATGGCCAAAAACTGGAAACAGGGAGTGTTCATCAATTGGGGAATGGCTGAACAAATTACTGTATAAGAATGCAAAAGAATACTATTGTGTTATAAGAAATGAAGATTGACAGTTTCAGAGAAACCCAGGAAGTCTTTTATTAACTGAGGCAGAGTGAAGTAAGCCAAAGCACAACGCTTTGTATCATAAGAACAACTTTGAAAGACTTAAAGAACTATGATCTATAATTAATCATGATCCAAAGGACTGATGATAAACAACGTCACCCACCTGACAGGTGATGAACTAAATATGGAGAATGAGACACATTATGTGTCTCATTATATAGAAATTGGCATGGTCAATACAGAAATTTCTTTTTCTTGATGTTGCAAATTTGTTACAAGGATTGTTTTTCTTTTTTGTTATTTTTATAGTGTGGGGAGGAATATGGGAAGAAAAAAATCGCTTGAAAATTGAAAAATTTTAATTTTTAAAATAGAATATATCACTATTTTAAGTATGACAGAATAAAAAGATTATGTATGGGAATTCTACATAATTATGGAATAACAAAATTAGGTACTGAGGGGTCACCTAGGACTATCTTCAGGCACTGTCAGACTCCGAATCCCATTTAAAAGAAAAATCTACTTTTTTTAAATTTCCATAGAAAAAGACTACATAGGAGTAGCTAGATGGTACAGTGGATAGAGCACCGGCAATGGAGTCAGGAGGACCTGAGTTCAAATCAGGCCTCAGACACAGAACACTTACTAGTTGCGTGACTTTGGGCAAGTCACTTAACCCTGACTGCTTCACCAAAAAAAAAAAAAAAAGAAAGAAAGAAAAGAAAAGAAAAAGACTACATAACCACTCTCAGTTACCCTACAAGGAATTTCACAGAATCTTAAGATTTAGAATGAAAGGAACTTTAGAAATCATCATTTTACAGATGAAGAAACTAAGGCCCATGCGATGTAACCTTCATTGTTAATTTAAATCTTTCAAGCTATGACTTGAGCACAATTCCTCCTTCTTTATACCCTTAGTCTGTTCTCACACAATATCTCAAAAAAAACATTTACTGACCACAATAGTTGGCTCAATGAGCGTATCACAATAGTTGTCCATTTACTCAACAATTATAACACAAAGCACTAGTTGAAGGAGCTTAAAAGATCATCAATAAGCATGTATTAAATATGCTACATCAATGATAAACAATTTATACACACTAAGGAAAATGTTATGTGTAATCAAGTCTCCCACAACTACCATGTGGAGTTACTCAGAATTGCTGAAAGCTATGCCTGTGCAGTGTAGACCCTAGAAAGCTATAAGTCTGGACCCAACAACCAACACTTTATCTATTATCTAAGAAATAGCCTAGCCAGTCTCAAAAAGGCACCATCAGGTTGGCCAGAGGTTGGTACATGTTTTGATCACAGTAATCATTACAGTTCACTTAGGAAACTGTATAGAAATTGTAAGGAGGGGAGTTAGTAGCCCGACCAAGGAAAGAAACTATAGATCCTTAAAGTATAAAAGTAGATAAGTAACTTTTCAAAATTATATGCAAAATACAGGCATAACCCATCTAACGTATTAATTTGTTCTATAAAAACATCTAGGCAAAATGTTATTACAAGGAATAAAAAGTTCCAAAAGAATAATGTTATAAACCAGTAGCTGGCTAAATGATATTATCAGCAGTCTCACAACTTTACTGTGGGATTTGCTTAATAAGATTGTAGCAAACTGGAATTGATTGGCACAAACTGAAAGAAGGCAGGCCTATACCAATTGTTTTAAGACATAACCTAGCAATGTATCAAGTGATCTGGCAGGATAGTAAAAGCTCATAACCACTATTATCCAGTGCTATTAATATGATCTTCTGAAGACTCACTGTGATCCTAAATATTCTCAGCCAGAAAATATCACATACTTTAACTCTGATGACAAATCCATTGTGAGAAAAAAAAATTTTTTAAAACATGACCATGAATTTTTTTGTGTCTAAGTAACAATCCCATAAATAGGAAACAACCACATTTTAAAATGTACAAAAAGGATACATCATTACCTGAAAAATCTAATCCTCAAACTCTTTCTTATATCTTGCTAACTCCTGTCACCTATCACCATTCCAACATATCCTAAGACACTAGGCAAATAATGTTTAATAACATTAAATTTAAGAGACTTTTTTTTAAGTCATGGAAAACAAAAAAATGCAGACTTAGAAATGTCTCCTGATAAAAATGTATCTTTTTCAATCCAATGTCAATGAGAAATCCACCCCACCAGCCAGAGTACCACAATCTCCTAGACTCCTCTCATATATCCAATTCCAACATGAAAAAGGTCAAATTTGCTGCCCTTTGAAGATTTGTTGAGAGACAAGATTAAAACCATGGAAGGGCAATCAGCCCTTTAAAACTTACTATTTACCTTAACAATTGTTCATATTAAAAATAAACAGAAGTGTGGCCTGAAAGATAGTTAAGTCAACAGGAAGGTCTAAAATTTAAGATAGAGAACATATTCAGAAGCAGAAACAATTATGCATAAGTGCAAAAAAGGATACATAAACAAAAGTATAGTATACACAGTTACAAACCGTATAGAACAAAAAGCACAGAGAAATAAAAGAGATGTAAAAGATAACTTAAAAGCCCCTGAAAAGGGGCAAAAACTAAAGAGGGAAAAAAGGCAGAACTACTTTTCTACCTTTATTGGTGTCTTAAATAGAAATACTGAACCTAAAGGACAAATACCAATACAAAGCCTGCTTAGTAGGTATGCAATCTTCTGATAAAACTATTAAGAAATGTGATAGACTTAGGCTTAATAAAATATCAAAAATACCTTATTAGCAAGGCAAAACTGAATACTAACTACTAAATAAAAATAGAATACTATAAATAAAAAATAGAATACTAAAACAAGTATAACAACAAAATCAAATCAATAACCCAGTTCTTTCTCAAGGGAGCTAAGAAACAAAAGGTCAATCAATCAATAAGCATTTATTAAGCATCTACTGTGTGCCAGGCACTGTGTTTAAGAGATGGATCATGTGTGATCATATGTGATATCATGAAACAAAATGGCAACTGGCTATGCTATATTTGTAACAAACCTCAACAAAAATCTTTGGATCAGGAATATGGCGGCTTCAACCTGACAAGGAAATAATTTTTCACTACTAACCAAGTTATTTGCTTTTCAAAAAAGAATGTGATATGAAAACCTGAATTAAGAAATGTTTGACCACATTCTTCCAGCAGAGGGCACAGTAAGGCCATAGTAAAACCAAAACAAGAGAAAGAAAAAGGGCGAAAAAATCTCCTAAAAGCCATTATATCCATCCTAAGTATTAAAGAACCCAATTTCTACTAATAAAAAATGCTAGTATACTATTTTTAGTAACTGTCTAAATGTTCCCAATATAATAATTCCGTGAATAACATGGCATGTTATTTTGTGAATAACAATATTCTGTGAAACATAGGTTATTTTACTTAACACATTTTGAAACTTAATATAAAAGAATTTAAGAATTAAATCCTTAAGCATTCATCAAGCTAAAACAAATATTTATGCTCCAGAAAAAATCTTTAAACAAATTACCTTTAAAAAAACATATATTGCATATATATGCACACATATATTTTAAAGGTAAATTGATAGATAGATGGATGGATGTTACTAGATCATTTGAAACAAATTTTTTCATTCAAATTCTTGCTTATTTATACAGGCAAAAATAGAAAGTCAAAACAGAGGCATTAACAACACCACTTCAAAGTCATTATTTGTTCTGTTACCTTTCAAGTTACAATTTAAGATTAGCACTGAAGGGATAATACTACTTTGGATTTTTACATAGAATCTTTCTGCCAAGGATTCCACCCATGCAAGTGCCAGTACATGAGGAGAAGTTGAAGCGATACAAAATGTTTTAGGAAAATACACTCAACAATTTTTTACTGAAGTCATTCTAGCAGGTAATATTATATCAAAACCAAATTGGAGAGTTACATCTTGCTGTTTTTTTTTTTTAATGCATAAAATGTTCACTAAATAATTAACGGGGACACACTGTAGGAAATACATTTTAGTATAGAAATATCAAATTGAAAAAAAGGTATTTTCTTTCCTCTCCCTACTAATAAGAAATGTAAAACACAAAACTGGCCAAAGAAAACATCCTTCCTTTTCTTATAATATCAATTTCAGTAAAAACAGATTTTAAATCCTAAGTATCTCTAACCTAATAGTAAAACATAACTGAAATATATATTATATATATTAAAGGATATCAAAAATTTTAATTCTTAAGAAAGAAGAAAAAGAAAGCTCACCAATTAAGTCTGAGTGATGAATAGTTAAAGGTGAAAGGAAAAAGGCATACCTAACTTAAAAACATATATGGGTATGAACCAAACTTACGTCCTGTTCATGAGGGTTCTGATTAAAGAATGCATGCTTTGTGAAATTCATCTCTTTAACGTCTATCTTCCTAACAACGTCATATACTTTTCTGACCTTGAACACCTGACTTCTTGGAGTTTTATTCCCATTGTAGCCCATATCAATTCCATTATTGGGAGAGGATGGGCCAATTCGAAAGACATGACAAAACATCCTCACAATCCTTAAGAGACTCTTCATTTGTGCTTCATAATTGCTAGACAGGCTGCAAGGAAAAGTAATATGGAACATATTAGATGCATTAAAATAAATCTGTAGCTCCAGATTTATTTTTAAAGATTTTCATTTATCCTATGGCCTGACTACCCATTTCATCTAATCTAAATGCAGCAAAATCTTCCTTACCTCTCGACATAATGAAGAAATTGAGTGTTCTACACATACAAATTACCAATGTTCAAAAAAACTTTTGAAAACAACAAATTAATAATGAACAAAAAATGTAAACATTTGCTCCTACAGAGTGGTTTATTTACGTACCTAGGTATATTTTTGTAATCTAAAAAGTTTGCTTTTCTATGAGTTGTTTACAAACAAATACACATATGGAAGTTAGGTTCTTAGGTCAACCCACAAGATCCTATTTAACCTGCAACATATTTTTGACAATTTAGATAGCATTGGAGGATTTTCAGTGCCCTCATGATGATCACGGTGGATATCAATTAAAATTGTACTAATTGTTATAAGGTCCTTCTCCACTACATTATCATAAGGAGAAACACCTCAATTCTTAAAGCTATGCCAATGACAAACTCTGACAGGTCCTCCCAAAACACAGAAAGGCTTCAAGTAAGGTCCCAGTCACAGAATTTATAACTCATGTCTAAGGATTACCCTAGCTAAGTTTGAAAAGGCTCATCACCAGAAGGTTAGCCAAAAGGTGATTCATCTTTGAGGGACAAGAAATTCACGAACACTATCTGCCAAGCAGTGAAAGATATGATCTGCATGAATGAAGGGAACAAATCAAGGATCACTAAAGTACTATATATAGCTGTAAGAAGTACAGGAAATGGACTCAATCTGTGTTATTCCTGATGACACACCCTAAAAGCAGTGACACTGACATATAAATCACTAATAGCAACTATCTTATCTTGGCTCTTTGCCTAAAGGCAGAATGCAAAATTGTGCCATCTCCTAGGAAGCACAAGTACTTTTCTCAAAATGTAATTATATCAGAAGCTGAATCAGCCTATTCCCAAGTTACTTTAGCCTATTCAATAAAATCTTTTTTTTTTTTTTTTTTTGCTGTATTTCAATGTCTTCTGACACTTTAGTATAAGATTCCCACTGAGTTGCTATGTCTTCTGGTTTGCTGGGTGCCAGAAAATAAAGCATTTGCTTTCCTAGTGATGTACCAATATTTCGTCAAAACACACTTCAATACACATCAAGGATCGGATTTCAATGGTATACTTAATTCCTCCATCAACAGAGAATCCCTCTAAATTTTAAATAGATGGATTTAATAACTTGCCCTTAAGGAGCTTTCAATTTAGACAGACAAAGACATAAACATGCAGAAAGTTAAATAAAACATCTTAAATAATATGTTAAAGCCACAGGAAAAAAATATTAAGATAAATACATGATTATCAATAAATTATAAAGACAATAATTACAGGCATTCAGAAGAGATAAGAACATTTCACGGAAGGAGCCACTCCTATCTAACTCAATCTCTTTAAGGCTTCTCTCATCTCCCTAAAGAAATTTAAAAGCAAAACTAGACAAAAATAAAAATGAAACATGGACAAAAGGACAAAGAAGGAATAAAAAGCATAGATGTTTTATTATGTACAACAAGGTTATTTATTATGGAGAATCAGATAAAGACAAGTTATAAACTTAAAGAGGAGGCAAGAAAAATAGAATGCTTATTTAATTATCAATATGCACCTCGATATGCACCTGTACAGGTAAAAGATTCTAGGAGCTGTCTGAAAGGAGAAAGATTGGTAAACTAAGATTCAAATGATATCCCAGGTAAAGCATACAGCCTAAAAGGAAGAAAATTATTTGGTAAACAGTGAACCAAGTATCTCACATCACTCAAGATGGCTTCTGCCACTGTCTGCACCTTCACCTCTATTTCACAGTAAGAGGTGAGTGACCTTTCCTTTTCCTTGCCAAGGCAAAACCCTCTACAAGCACAAGTGATCCCATTCCATCTTATTGTCTCCAACAGATTGATCCCTTTATCATTCTCAGTTCTCTCACTTATCTCCAATCTCTCCCAAGCTACCTCCATCCTCAAAAAAACCTCATCAGATCTAGCCATCCCCACTAGGTATTGTCCCATATCTCTCCTTTTTCCTGTTAAAATCCCTAATGAGGTCATCTACAACAAGTGCCTTCACTTCCTTTCTTCATACTTTCTTGATTCTATACAATCTGGCTTTTCATCTCATCATTCAATTAAAACTGCTCATTCCAAAATTACTAATAATCTCTTAATTGCCAATGCTAATGGACTTTTATCAATCCTCATCCTTCTTGACCCCTGTAGTCTTTGGCACTATAGATCACCCTTCTCTCTAATCTAGACTTCCATGACACCATTCTATCCTAGTTCTATATATTCCAACCTATCTGACCACTCTTTCTCGGTTTGCTTTGTTACAACTTCATCCAGGTCACACTTATCATGTGTGTCCCCCAGGGCTCTGTCCTGGGCCCTCTTTCCATCTCCCTCTACACTACTGTACTTGGTAATCTTATCAGTTCCTATGAACTTAATTATCATCTCTATGCTAATGATTCTCAAATATACTTACCCTACCCTAACCTCTCCGACCTACAGTCTGGAGTTTCCAACTGCCAAATGAACATATCAAACTCAATGTGTCGTAGACATTTTAAACTAAACATGTCAAAACTGAACTCGTTTCCTGCCCACCTCTGCCCACCCCCCTCCAAACCCTCTTCTTTTCAAAATGTCCCTCTATTTTCTTTTTTTTTGGAGGGGGGAAAGGCACTTGGGGTTAAGTGACTTTCCCAGAGTCACACAGCTAGTGAATGTTATGTGTCAGAAGCCAAATTTGAACTCAAGTCCTCCTGACTCTAGGGCCAGTGCTCTATCCACTGCACTACCTAGCTGCCCCTCCCTCTTACTTTCAAGGGTGCAATCAGACAGCTGGGGGCCCAGTGAATAGAGCACTGGGGCCAGGAGTGAGGAAGACCTGAGCTCTGTGTAACCCTGGGCTAGTCATTTAACCTCTGTAGTTTCTTCAACTGTAAATAGAGATAAAAATAGCAACTACCTCATAGCGTTGTTCTGAGAATTAAATGAGATAGTATTTGTCACTTAGTAGGAACTATATAAATGCTTATTTTCTTCTCAACCTACCAGTCACCCAGGCTCACAACCTCAGTGGTACCCTCAACTCCTCACTCTTACTTCCCATATCCAATCAACTGACAAGTCCTGTCATTTCTACCATCTTAAAATTTCTCCTATATGTCCCCTTGTCTGCTCTGACATTACAATCGCCTTGGGTGTTGGTCCTTATCATCTCACAGCTAGATTACTGAAATAGCCTTTTAGGGGTACCCTTACATCAAAAGTCTCTACCCACTCCAATCCATCCTCTCTACTCAGCTGTCAAAAAGATCTTCCTAAAGCCCAAATCTATGTCAGCCCCACCCCCCAACTCCTCCACTGAACTACTCCAGGGGTTGCCTATCACATCCAAGATCCCAAATAAAATCTTATTTGACTTTTAAAGTCCTTCATAACCTGGACCCTCCCACCTTTCAGGCTTCTTATACCTTACTTATCCCTACATACTCTGCAATTCAGGGATCCTGGTCACCCTGCTGGTCCTTACAGACACTCCACACCTCCTGACTCCAGGTATTTTCAGTAGCTCTCCCTCATGCTTAGAATTCTCTTCCTCCTCCTTTCCACTTCTTCCCTCAAGTGCCAGATAAAATCTTTATCTTCCATAAGAAGGCTTTCCCAATCCCCCTTAATGCTAGCTCTCTCCTTGATTATCTACAACTTATCCTAAATATATCCTTTTTATACATAGTTGTTTGCATGTTGTCTCCTTCATTGAATTGTGATCTCCTTGAGAGCAGGAACTATCTTTTGCCTGTCTTCATATCCCCAGTGCTTAGCACAATGCCTGGTACACAGTAGGTACTTGATAAATGCTTACTAATTATTGACAAAGAAGAAATATGAGGAAAATTCAGAAAAAAAGAAAGTGATCTAGGACGGTCCAATAAAAGGCACCGAAGCAAATGAAGACTGTAGTCTTGGTCTAAAAGTGTAAATTAAGAGCCCTGGGAACAGGGTTTTAATTCCAATAAAAGGAAAAGGTGACAGAGTGGGCAATGAAGGTAGAAGGTAAAAAAAAAACCATTAAGAGGTAGAGAATTCAATAAGATAATCATAAAAATACAATATTGACCAAGAACATATTCAAGGCTGGGGCTACAGGAAGAAAAAAGATGGTACATATAAGGAACACCTTCAGGCCTTCATCATTTAAGGAACACCTTCTCATTTGGCCTATAATGGCCTCCTAAATGGTCTTTCTGCTTCCAGTCCTACCCCTCTTCAAATTCAGTCTCCATATGGCTCCCAAAATAATCCAAGACATAGCTCTGATTCCTCTACTCAAAAATCTTAAGTGGTTCTGGATGGTCTACAAAATAAAATAAAAATACTTATTTTGGCCTTGTTAGGCCTAACACAATCTGGCTTCCACCTACCTTTCTAGGCTTATTTTACAGTTTTTCATTCATTATGGGGGGAATTGGGGGGGGGGGTTATGGAACCTCACCAGGGTGACAGAGGAACTCAAAATCATACCAAATTTGAATTACATAACTGGGTACATTTAGCCTGAAGAAATTTCAGGAAAGATATGAGTATCTTTCAAGTATCTGAAGGGCTATCTTGCAAACTTTTTTCATTTGATTTTAAAGGGCAAAACTAGAAATAACTGGTCAAAGTGACAAAAGGGCAGATTTCAGGTCAATATAAGTCAAAGTTTACCAATAATTAAAGCTCTCCAAAGGTAACATGGATTGTCTCACGAGGTACTGAATTGCCTATAATTGATTCAAGCAGAAAGTAGATAACCATTTGCCAAAGATGCTACAAGGCAGAGATGTCAAATATGCAGCCCATAATATTATCAAGTGCTGCCCAAACCAGATTAAAATGTAATTGGGAAATATTCAAGAAAACAAATAAAAATACAATAAAACATAGGTATTATTACATTTAAAAACTGAGTCAATATGTAAACCACAGGGATTCTTATATACAGTTTAGTGGCTCCCTGTTTCTACTAGAGTTTGACAACACTGCTGTATGGGATATTCATATCATTTTGGATTATATGAATACTTCAGTCTCTTTCAATTCCAAGATCATATGATTCTATATTACTCTTAAATACTGAAAAATCTACAGAGGTTCCTCATTTGCCTGCTAAATAATCAATCACCTGCTCCTGGAATTCAAGGCATGCTACAATCTAGCTCCAACCCACTCTGAAAATTTAATTTTTTGCACTGCTCTTCATCATGGACTTCTATTTTTCAGTCAAAAACTGAACTATTCTGTCCCCCACTTTCATCCCTCCCTCTGCTATCTCTGTGAATTTGCTCATGCTATCCATTATGCCTGAAATGAACACTCTCCCTTCTCCATCAACTAAAAGCTCTTCCTTCCTTCAAGGTTCAATTCAAGGGCCACTTTCACCTGCAGGTGAAAGTCATCTCACCCTCTTCAAGTTTCTCACAGCAATTTGTTCTAAACCCCTTCGCCATTCTGCTTTTGTCTCACTCCTCCATGTAGCATAGTTATTTGGGCAAGTCTGGGTCTTTTCACTCAATGTAGTCTAAGAATTTTGAAAGCAGTGTCTGTGATGCATTTATATGTCCAATTCCCAACACAGTTTCTTTTAGATGTCAGGCACTTAACAAATGTTTATTGTTGATGAACTGAACAAAGCTAGAACTAACCATGGACAAAAAAAAAAAAAAAAAGAATGACACCTTAGAAACAACTCTTCAAGTTTTCTTACTCCAAACATGATTTAAAAAAAAAAACCACTTTTCCTATAGGCCCATATAGTGCAGGAAAGAAAATTAACTCTATCTCCAGGTTTAATTTGAGTTGGTGATGGGTCAGCTGAGCTCATGAAGTCTTATAAACAGTACTCTCAAAGAATGGACAGAAAGGTATACAGTTAAAGGGTGGAAAGTTCACAGAGAACCAGGAGTTACACTGAAAATTCTCACAACTATAAGTTTTGTTCATATTGGTAGTTAACATTTCTATATTATTTCTCATATTTTCTTAGTATGAATTACCATTTCATTAACAATTCTAGTTAAATATTATGAATATGTTCATATCTACTCATTTGAGTAAGAAATCTGAAACTATCCTTTTAAACAAAATGAGATTAGTTTAAGCGCTTGACTGTCCTGTCTTTACTGTTCTGACTTTACTAAACATTAACATTTGATCAGTATATTATAATAACATTGTTAACAGATGGTATCCAAAAAAGTTAAATAATTCTTACAGAAAAGGCCCTAAAACAGATTAACCCAAAAAGTACAGCTTCCTGTTGAATTGTTTGCATTTTCAAATTCTTACCTAAGCAGCTTATGACCATTTGTTGTTGCAACTTCAGCAAGACTTGTCAGAATCTTTAGGTACTGGCTTTCACTTTGCTGAGACAAATGCTCCAAAACTTGTCGCAACTGAATGTTTTAGAAATTTCAAAAATGTAAATTAACATTATAGTAATATATACAAATTCTCTGGGATTAGTCAGTTACTCTTTTAAAAGCTAGACTAGAAGACAGTTTTCTGAAATGAAATTTTCCACTGGTAATTTCTCTTTCCCAGTTTCAGAAGCTCAAGAAGTAAGTCATTTATTTACCCTTTCATAATTTCTCTGCCCAGTCACATCAAAATGCTAATGGTAATCTCTCTGCCTAATGCCCTCACCTTTCAGAATAGGAAGACAGCAGCACCATAGTCTGAGTAATCATGGAAAAATACAGCAACTTTATGAAATTTGCTGAATTTTAAGTTTTGCAGTTTACCAAAGCAGTTACAATAGAGGCAGAAATTACAAAGTCAGTACACATCAAGCCTGACAGCAGAAACAAATATGAATATAGACTTGTAACTTATAGTTATCTTGTGTAATTTACAGTTACCTTACAGAAAGGCCAAAGACAGAGAGCACAGACCTAAAACACTATGAAATCATTGGCTGAAATCTAATTTATATTTGTTTAAAACTGGCAGCATAGTATAAGTTACTGGAAACTTGAACTTCACAGAACTTAGGCCATGAAAGATATTTATAAAATATTACATGTAAATTTAACAAAGCTTATGCATATACATATGCTTTTTACAAAATTTATTGTTACCATATTTTCTCGAAGGTCTTCATTCTGTGTCATTTGAATAATTGTTTGGAAAAGCCTAGGGTGATACTGAATTAATACTTCACAAGTCTCTCCATAGCCACCCTACAAAACATATTTAAAAATAAACTTTAAAAGTGAAATTCCTTTTAAAAATATATACTTCACACAATAAAAAGGTTTAGACTTGACCTCCCATGTAAAGGAAAAAAGTGAACAGTATTTATCTCACATTCTATTATGAAGAGTATAAGGATAATACAGAAAATCATACCTGTACACACAAATCCAGAGGGGTAACTCCATTTTTATCCGGCAGATATTTTGCTCCTCGTAAAAGAAGAATCTGTGCTGTGTCTCTCTGGCCATGACTGTATAAAACATAGAGTCAATAATAAAATGTATTCTTTTGTACTTAAAGCCTTTATTTATTATGAACTATTAATGGCTGATAGTCCAAAAAACCCCAGTTCTAGCTTTATTTCCTGCTCCTCAAAAGAAGCTGTCAGACTTTCTCAACCCGAGGCCACACCATCACTAAGACATGGAAATAGTCAATTAACATAGAAAATTTAATTTATAATCAGCTGACACTGCAGAACACTCTCTTATTCTTTCTTTATACTCTCTTCTCACTAGGTTTTTGGAGCACCATTTTCTCCTTATTTTCCTATTTGACTTCTCATTCTCCTTTGATGAATCCTCATCCAGGTCATGCCCTGTAACCCTGCACATCCCACAAAGCTATGTCCTGGGCCCTCTTTTCTCGTCTCCTCTCTCTTCCTTCTCCCCACAAATAAGTGACACTTGTTTCCTTGCTATTCCATAACACTCCACTTCTCAGCTCTGGTAATTTTCTGACTGTCCTTCATGCGGGGAATGTTCTCCCTCATCTCTACCTCCTGGCTTCCCTGGCTTCCCTGGCTTCCTTCAATCCCAGACAGAATCTCATTTTTTACAAGAAACCTGTCCTAATTCCTCTTAATTCTAGTGCCTTCCTTCGGTTAACTTATTTATCCTGTAGATAGCTAATTTGTACATATTTGTTTGCTTGTTGTCTCTCCCAATAGATTGGGAGCTCTTTGAGGGCAGGGACTGTCTTCGCCTTCCTTTGGATCTTTACCACGTAGCACAGTGTCTGGCACACAGTAGGCAATTAATAAATGCTTACTGAGTTGCCTAGGGCAACTAAGAATGGTTCTTGACTATGTCTTTGGAGACTTTCCACTATTCCTTTGTCAGCCTCCTCCTTTTTTCCCCCAGCCTCATCTTGATCCTCTTTCCCAAACCAGTGATCTTCAAATAAAGCCTATACAATCACTTCTTGGATATGATGTAGAAGGGATTATAATTCAGGTATAAGCTGGCCTCAGGTACAAATGTCCTCTAAGGTCCCTTCTGACTCTGAGATTCTATGCTTTGCACTTTCCATTTCCCATTTTTAATTTCCCAGGTGCCACATACTGCTTTTACTGCTTCCCCTTCAGGCCTCATAAAGTACTTTATTTTGTGCCTAATGTACTTAACTTGTATTATTAATTATTTATGTATTTGCCATGTCCCTGTTATACTCTACAAAGGAGACTCTGTTCTTATCTAAATTTCATAGCTCCCCTAGCACAGTGCTAAGCATTTTAAAAATTTTTGTTGAAATGAGGTTCATTCTACTCTAAATAAGCCTTATCTCCATCAAACATACCTCCTAAAGAAATATTCTTCTACTTCTCCATGACTCCTAAAGAAAAATTCTTAAATGAGAATAGTTTATTTTAATAGTTTATAAAACAAGCATTTTAAAAGGCTGCTTTTTCTACTCGTTGGAAACACATATTTTGGATTTGTTTTTGATACTGTGCCCCAAGCTCAAATTTGCAAACTTGTTCCTCCACAATCCTGGTATCCTTAAGAAGCCTCATTGCCCTGATTTTAAAGACACTCACCTATCAAGACCACCATTCTACTTTTAGCCTCCCACTCCACCCAACATACTCAGCTTAGGATTCACTTCCTCCTCTATCTTCTCTGCTAAGCCACTGTACCTGGCTCAGTATAAGGAACCAATTCCCTTCATCATTTGCTTCACTTTCTCCCTTACCACTTTTTTTTTTAAGGATCAGAAGAAACTGGAAAAGGGAATTTAGTTCCAGTCCATTTTTCTTCTAATGGAACTGAAACCAGATGATCTCTGCTGTGCCATCTGCTGGTGCAGTGTTAGCTTGGGAATGGCGGCTACCACCACCTTCCAGAGATCTTGATAACCAGTACATACAGACTACAAAAATCTAAAAGTGACATTAAAAACTACTGATTTTAAGAAAAATTCAATCTCTGGGCCAGGAGTTCTTAACCTTTTTTTGCATCATGGAAAACTCTAGCAGTCTGGTGAGGCCTATGAACCCCTTCTGAGAATAATGTTTTCAAATGTATAAAATAAAATATATCAGATAACAAAGGAAACCAATTATATTCTTCTGTTATTTGAAATAAACAAGAAGTTAGGTGACAATGCTGCTAAATTTCAAAGAATGAAGCCAACTGCTAACATATCAGACAGCCTCACTCTTCTCAGTGAAGTAGGCTATCATAGTTGTTTTCGGAAATAAGAGAGAGAAACAATAAGAAAGAAATAGAAATGTTTTCTAGCAGCAAGGAAGCCATTTACAGTTATACAACAAATTTGTTGTAGGTGAAGTTATTTCAATTTAATGATTTTTCTTCAGGAACGCTCAACAACCCTAGAGCAGGAACAGAGAAAACAGATGGTGTAAATTTCCCAAGGATGATGAATTACAGGGTGGAAACAATGCAAGGTCAAAGAGGCAAGGCATTTGAAGATATATACTAGGATAATAGTCAAGTGATTAACCATGGAGACAAGGCTAGCATGGAAATGAGTGAAGCAAGAGTATGGAAGATAAATTGGCAGAATGCATTAAGGGACCAAAAGTCACAATAAAAGCAAAGGGTATGTTTAAGATAAAAGAGGTAAAATTTCAAAGTTCTAGATCTTAGATGAAAAGAAATTTTGAGAAATGGTAAATTCTAATGTGACACCACGGCTGAAGTAAGATGGAAAATGAGGGTATTTTAGTTGAGAAACCTGAAAAAAATTAAAATCAAGATCATAGGGTTTTAGTTTCCTTTTGTTTTGTTGGGGAAAGAGGTAAGGCATTAATGTACATAATGAACATAAGCCAAATATTAATTTTGGGTGGAATATGGCTTGCAGGTGAGCAGATGACAGCAACAAGGATGGTAATTAGGGTTAGAATAATTTGGAAGTGACAATAGGAAGCATGGACTGCATAGAAATGAGTAATAGCTTTCTAAGTCTGAGTATCAGATTGCATGCTAAAGGTTTTTTGGAATAAAATGATTCTAACATTCATTCTATGTGTAGATTATCCTTCCCAAGTGAAAGTAATTTAAATCTGTCAATTGAGTCACAGCACATATAAATGCTGGGCTTTTTTTTTTTAAGGTACCTTAGAGTTATCCAGTAATTTTTTCAACTATCCTTTGTTCAATTAGTAGTACAAGAAACAGGCAAAAGTTTCTAACTCTTCCTGATTAGTCTTTTGGGCCCTTCTTACAAGGACTGCTTGGCTTACTAAGTTCCTTCTCTGTCTCAGAGGAGTTGCTCTGCACTAAGTAGACGTCTATTTGGACGGTTACAGCTAGTGTTTGCTTATGAATATAATGGCTCCAACTTCAGAGGACAGAATTGAAGAGTCAATCAATGAATATAATGGTAGAATAGAAAGCATGCTGATTTCATAGAGGATACAAAGTGTTATGAAATGAAAGGTCACTGGGAAACAAATTGAAGTAGAAACAAAATATAACTTCTGCCACTCCACTTAACAGTGACACTGATTACAGAATTCAGCATTAAGCTAAGCAGTATGACGGAGAAGGAAATGACAAACCACTCCAGTATCTTTGCCAAGAAAACCCCATGGACAGTTGGTCTACAGGGTCATGAAGAGTCCGACACGACTGAATAATTGAAGAACAATGATAGGAGAAAAGCCAAAGTCTACAGGATAGAAACCAATTCTGAAAAGAACAATTTTCAATAGGATGACTCCAAACAGGGTCTAGGATTCTGAGAATGAAGATAACAGAACAAGCATGATGAAGCAGCCTTGTGTAATGGAAAGAGTACTGGATTTAGAATCAGAGGCCTAGGTGGGAACCACAGCCCTGCTACTCTAGTTGGGGGACTCTAACCAACTAAGTTCACTTTTTTTGGGCCTTAAGCATCCTCAATTCACAAATGAAAACGTAATGATTCCTAGATCCCTTAGAAACATTACGCTTGTTACAGACATAAGTACTTGTTAATTAACAAGGTTATTATGCAAGCATTTCATATGACAGAAAATATGCAGTAATCTGAATATTAAAAAGGCGAGCTTGGACAGTCAAGAAAAATATACAAAGTATATCATATACTTCAAGAAACTTCCTTGGTTGCCAAGGAAGTGGGTGTGAGTGGTACTCCTGAAAAAAAAACCAAAAAACAAAAACCAATAATTATAGATCTAGTAAAACATTCTTGAATTACCTCTCAATTTCAACTTATTTTCAGTCCAGTTTTATCATTTTACAACTCTATACTTTGTCTGCAAATTTAACTTACTCTATTTTCCACATATTGCCCTAAGAAAATACATGAGGTTTGTTGTTCCACTTCGATCTCCCTTCCAGAATAATGAATTTATTTTTTACGTATAATTCTAACTTCAGGTTTACTTCACAATCATTTCCTCCAAAGGTCTAAAGTTCACTTGTGCTACACTTAAAAGCAAGAATAAAAGCATAAGAAGGTAGTGAAAGATTCAATCATAATAACACATAATACAATCATAATAACAGCTCCCAGGAATACTGCCCAGTGCTCAACAATGTGGTATCATAATGTTTTATTTCTAAAAGACTCTAAAATACCATAACATTATGTAAGATACTTTCCAAAAATCCAATCCTCTTATAATTAGATCTGAGTTCAGAGAAACAATGTATAAAATGATCCATAATTGTGAGGCACAAAAAAAAAAAAAACAAAAACACACAATTCTTAAGAATCAGAAACAGGGACAGCTAGGTGGTGTAGTAGGTAGAGTTCCGGCCTTGGAGTCAGTAGGACCCGAGTTCAAATCCGGCCTCAGACACTTGAAACTTACTAGCTGAGTGACCCTGGGAAAGTCACTTAACCCCAACTGCCTCACCAAAAAAAAAAAAAAAGAAAGAATCAGAAACCAAAAACTCTAAGCATATAAATTTCTAGAAAAGAAAATACACCATTCTAGGTTCTGACAAGACTGTGGCCTAGAAGATAGAGACAATACATTGTTTCAATCTAATCAAAGTGATTTTGTAGAATTAGATTCTTATAAATTCTATGAAAAGAGAAAAGTAACCCCCTCTGTTAACAGACATCATCTCAAGTCTAATGGTTGACCAAGAAGAAAAAAATAACATAAACAGGATCTTTCTAGAACTTGAGTACTCTTGGGCTTCCCAACCATGATTAGTCATTTTTAGTAAGAGCAAAAAAGAATTTCCTTGAGATAGTTGGATAAAAGTTAGACCAGAGTTAGACAAGACTGTTAAGCCAAAAAAAAACAGTAAGCGAGTAAGAGACTGACTATGATGGAAATGATATATGAGTGATAATCTAAAAGACACTGGAAAGATAAATAGTGGGTATTGGTAGGCTACAGTATATTATCAATAACTTGCTTGGCAGACATGGCATAAGAGACATTATCAAGAACACGTATGTGTCAGAGGTTTGTCAGTCAGGTAATGAAAGCAAGGAATAACAGACAGACAGCCAAAGCAGTGCACTAGTAGCCACAAAATACTTAGAAGACTCAGGAAAGGTCTCCAATGCACCTTCCCTGGATAACTTAAGGAAAAACACAGGAAAGAATCAAACAGGATAGATGAAAGAAAGGATCTTGGAAAGATTGTGATCTACATTGGCAGAGGAAAATACCCACACTGAGCCATTCGAATATGAAATCAGACTGTGTAGCTCTGTCTACATGGAAGAAAAGTATTGGGGAAGTGACACTGAAGCTGATAGCTCCCCAACAGGACTACTTGAATGCCGTCCAGAGCAACATCGTGTTGCTTCTACCAGACATTTCTCGGTATCACAGTATGTTTCTAACTTTCAGAAGGCAAAAACATAGAGAATATCTGGTCCAACTCTCCTTCATTTTACAGAGGTAAATGAGGAATGAAGCCTAAGGAAACAGGAGGAGCAGGCCAAATAACCTGCCCAAGGTCACATTAGATAGATAAAAGCAAAGCCAGGGCAAGAACTCAGGTTTTCTGATTCCCAATTCAGTGTTCTCGCCACTGTAACAAATTTTTCACTTAGTTATATGCATGGAAAGAAGAAAACATTTTAAATTTCAACACAGGACGTAAGATAAATTAGATTATCACTGCAGCGATCATTAGTAGTTGTAACAATAATGTTGTCTACAGAAGCGATCTATGAGAAAAATAGGTGTTTTTGGATTATTACAAGTAATTATTTAATTTACCAAAAATTGCTATGGGGTGGAACAAAAAAAATGTAAAGAGAAAACTGATTCCCAGAAAATGTAAATGACTTAATTAAGGTATTTTGCAACAATAAGAAGAATGAGAATTTAAAATTCTCTTTCAGATAAGCATGCTAGTGATAAGACCATGTCTCTTAAAAGGTATATACTGCACAAAAAGTACACCATACTTAATATGAAGCAAAATTAGATTTGAAGTTTTTAAGTCCCGTTTTTTTTTTACCGTTAAATATTGTTTTTGAAAATTATTTTAAAAAATAAAATACCATACCTGCAAGCAAAATACAGTGGGGTAGCTCCAGACACATTTGGCCTATTGATATCAGCACCACTGTCTAGTAAGCACTGCACTGTCTGAAGGGAAAAAAATAGAGTCAAAATAAAGCTAGAGAACAAAAGAAAGCATGCCATCTTCAATTTATATATGAACTGCAATACATATAAGATCTCATTCACATTCAAAAAAATTCCTAAAATTTAAGGGTTTCTACATGTTTTTTAAAAAGCCATCTTTAGAATTTCTCATATTCAACAGTAATCTACCAAAGCCTCACTATAAAATAATTTACTCTAGTGAAGAATTCTGTATGAGCTAAGTCTGTCTTAGTCCATATATGATGGCATTGACTACACAAGACATGCAATAACATGATCCTATAAGCACAGATTCCCTAAGGATCCCAGGATAGGAAGGGACCTCAGAGGCCATCTAGACCAGCACTTGTTCAACTTTTTCCACTTGCAACCCCTTTAGCGCTTCTTGAACTATGGGTCCTGACCCCATATAGGCTCATGACCCACAGTTTAAAAAATTCTAGACCAACTCGTACTTACAGAAGAATGCTTTCTGTGAAATCCTCCAACAAACAGTCATCCAGCCTTTGGCTTCCAGTGACAGAAGGAATGAGCTCAAAGTATTTATCAAGCACTTACTATGAGCCAAGCATGGTTCTAGGCACTGAGCAAAGCAACCCATTTCACTTTTGCATAGTTCTGATTATTAGGAAGCTTTGCCTTACATCAAGTTTCAAATTTCACTCTTTTTCTCCAGAGTGAACACTGTTCAACTGATCCAGCTGTAGCATAATCCTGAGACACTTCATCATCCCCCTCACCATCATCTGGATCCTCTCCAGCTTATTAATGTCCTTCCTAAATCTGGTACCCAGAAACTGAATACTCCTGATGTGATCTGATCAAGGCAGAGCAAAGCAGGACCCTCTTGGGTTTGATATGAGGCCTCTCTTAAAGTAGCCTAAGAAGATCACATTAGCTTTTCTGTGGGCATATTAGTATTGATCAAACTAAGTCTGTAAAATCCATTAAAACCCTCAGAACTTTTCCCACAGAAATTGCTGTTTTTCTACATCTCACTGAAATATTGATTTACAACTTATAACATGACTTTAAATGTATGACTTTATACTTATTCCCTTTGTATTTTATCTTGGAATTGGCACGACCTTCTAGCTTTGTCAAAGTCTGCTTGGATCCTGACTCTGTCATACAAACTTTAGCTATGATAACAACGATAATAACAAAAAGTTAGCATTTACATACCACTCTAAAATTTTCAAAGCATTTTACATGTTAACCAACTTGATCCTCGCTACTACTCTGTGAAGCAGCTATACTCTTTACTTCCTGCCATTTGAAAATTTCAGAAGCAAACCATTTATAAATTTATCCAAGCTAATGACAGATGCTTATCAAGGAGGCAAAGGTAAAACAACTTGTAATACATGAATATAATGTTATTACCGTAGTGTATAAAATGATGAATATAATGAATTAAAAGAAACATGAAGACCTGTAAGAACTGATGCACCAAGGAAGAAATATACATAATGACTTTAACAATGTAAATGGAAAAAAAACAAAAGCAATAAAACTTAATGTTGTATAATTTTAATATCCAAACTAAGCCCTAGAAAAAGTTGAGAAAATGCAACTCATCCCTTCACTGCAGAGGTGGCAGATTACAGATGTAGAATAGTGAATACAATGGCAAACAATGTCAATGAATTAATAAGTTTTGTTGACCTGCCTTTTTTTTTTCTTTTTAAAGTTTTGTTACAAGGGATGGATGGCCGTTGGGTAGGAAAATAGGGAGTAGAAAGGATAAATTCAGAAATAAATGTAATGTAAAAACAAAAACCATTAATAAAGTAAGATAAAAATTTTAAAATATATACATTGAATAACAGAAAGTAAAAAACAAATCCCTGATGTGTTCCAAAAGACTGCCTGCCAAACTGACATAAAGAAATGACTGTAACCTTGGGGTACAGTCATCCAACCACTTCTGAACTCACTTAACCATACTCCAGTCTAGTCCATATGTCTCCATCTCATCTATAAGAATAGCAAAGACTGTCACATGCTTTGCTGGAATCTAAGCAAACTGTCTACAAGACAAGTCCCCTATGTACCTATCCAGTTAAACCCTGCCAACAAAGGAAATTAGATTAGATTGGCAAAGAGACATCCTTGAAGAAACTATGCTTGTCATTTCCAAATATCACTTTTTAAATATTTTCTAATTGTTTCTTTAGTAATACATACTAAAACTCTGCCAAAATCAAAGTTGAATCATTTATAGACTACATTCCTCTTTTTTGAAAAATCTGCTTGATATATTTGCATTTCTTCAATACTATAACATTTCTTCAGTTCTCCATGATCTTTGAAAAATCACTTCAGCAATCATATCCACCAGTTCATTCAAAACCCTGGGATATAGTTCTTCTGGGCCTAGTGACCTAAATTCATCAAGGGCAACTAACTATTCTTTTACTAGCTCTTTACTCATCTTGGAACTGAAGGATATGGCATTCTATTTACCTATAGGCATTATTTTGCTGACTTATCCAAATACTGATGGATGGTCCTGACAACCCAATTTTGACTCAAGAAATAGTGAGCCCCTATGTATTACTGTAGAAAACAGAAAAATAATTAGTTTATTTCTTTGCTTCCTCAAAATGCTCAAAAGAAAAATAGTAATAGTAACCAAAATAGTTTTGGAAATAGAAAGTAGTTGGAGCCTGACTTTCTAAAATTAGTTGTTCCTAAAATTTAAGAGTTCATATCAATTTGATTTGAGAAGATTAAATCATATTTTGGCTTTACTAACGTTTTCTAACCTATGTAAATCACAACCTGGATGAAAAATGTCCATTTTACAAATTAACACGCAGTTGGACGACCAATTTATTGAGTCATCAGGTAAGATATCATATGTACCTAGGCACATATATCTAGGTTATAAGCACTACAAGTGGACAATGAGTTAGGAACAGAATTGTACTGGAAGAAGAGAGGTGACTAAATTATATTCGGAAACACATTCAGTGCTTTTCAAAATCTGCATCCTGATGCAAAATCCCATTTTTTAAAACACTAATTTTCCTAAGCAATGGTGGTAAGCTTTAGAATATCACACTCTTGGAATAATCAGATTTGAGAGACAGCCAAAGGATTCATTTTTAGAGGAATATTGGCAAATTCATTCTCCTACTAAAATCCTATTCCAAAATTTGGGGCATGGAAGTGATGCTCAAAGGCTACAACAATGAAGGGTGAAGTACCATTTAAAAACTTCAAATCACATTATAATGCAGCTATCATCAAAACTATTTGCGTCTGGTCAAAAATAGCTAAGTAAATCAGTGGATCAGAATAGACAAGGAAAAAATCAGAAGTAAAAATGGAAAACATATATCACCTTGAGAATTCATTATTTGACAAAAATTCCAGGAAAATTATAAAGTAGTCGAGCAGATGTTCAGACCGTGATCTTATAGTATATGCCAAAATAAACTCAAAATGGATATATGACCTGAATATTGAAGGTCATATCATAAAATAATCGGAAATTAACAAGATCGGGTAACTTTCACAACTATCACTAAGAGTTAATTTCTAAAGAAATTGAGGTGAATGATCACAAAAATTAAAATAAAAAATTTTTAATTATATGAATAAAGAAAAGTTTTTAAATGTACAGAATTAATGCAACTCAAAATGCTCAAAAGAAAAATAGTAATAGTAACCAAAATAGTTTT